TCCCCTGGACCAGGGGTTCGACCAGCAGGCAGGCCGGCCAACTGCCCATGTCCCCTCCCGTGGCCAGACTGGCCGGACTCCACCCATGCACGAATGCATGCACTGGGCCTCTAATATATAATATCTAATATATATTTTATATACACACACTGAGTGGCCAGGTTATTATGCATTCAGAGATCATCATCATCTGGCCCCTCGGTGAGCATTAAACCGGAAAAGTCAAATGCAGGAAGGGCCAGAGGTGGAGGCCAGGGCCGCCCTATGGGAAAAGGGAATGGCCAGGTCACTCTTGCTTTTCCTCGCACGCCTCCTCCTGTTGCACATGTGCAGGAAACCATTCGGAAACGCTTCTCCTGGGTAAGCTCAACGGCGGGTACAGGAACGCCTCCCTGCGCTGAGACCTGGCTCTGAAACCATGTGGATGGGACGATTCTCAGACCTTCAGGGCGAGAGGCTACGGACCACCCGTCCCCCCTCGGACACCTGGGCCTCGGGAATGGGGTGAGTCAGCGGCCAGCATCCCTTCCTCATGGGTATTTCCCACCAGAACATTCAGAATGAGAATCCTGGACCAGCTGGCTGCCTCCTGCCAGCTCCACTCTGGGGATGGAGCCGGCAACCCGGGCCTGTGCCCTGGACCAGGCGGGAATCGAACCGGTGCCCTCCTGGTTCCTAGGCCGGTGCTCCACCACCAACAGGGAGCCACGCCGGCTTGGCAGGGCACCGCTCGCTCGGACTTTGAAATCAAGTCAGCCGTTTCGGGGTGAGGGCGGAACCCCACAGATCCCTCACCTGTTTCCCACGGAGAAGATCCCCACCCCAGCCGGAAATTCAGGTCATCACGCTCACGCCCCGCCCGGGATGTTTTCAGTGCCGTCAGCATCTCTGCCGACATTCCGACATTCCGTTCACATGTCAGGAGAGTTGCATTGTTCTCTCCTTTCATGACCACGTGGGTGTCCGTCCCCCTGGGGCTGTGGGTCGCACCCCTCGCCAGCCCAGCCTCCGTGGGCAAAGCTCTCAGGGAATCACGCAGGCCTGGAGGTCAGAGGGCGCATCGTCCACAGTGAGAAGCAGGCCCTGGCCGGTGTGGCTCAGTGGATAGAGCGTCGGCCTGCGGACGGAAGGGTCCCAGGTTCGATTCCAGTCAAGGGCATGGACCTGGGTTGCAGGCACATCCCCAGTAGGGTGCGTGCAGGAGGGAGCCGACCAATGATTCTCTCTCATCATGGATGTTTCTATCTCTTTTGCCCTCCCTATTTCTCTCCAAAATCAATAAAAATATATTTTAAAAAAACACACAAATGATGTGTTGGTAGCAGAAGTTTGTGCCATGTCAGTAGCTCTTTGCCTTTTTTAAAAAACATGTATGTTTTTATTGATTTTAAAAAATATATATATTTTATTGATTTTTTTACAGAGAGGAAGGGAGAGAGATAGAGAGCTAGAAACGTCGATGAGAGAGAAACATCGACCAGCTGCCTCCTGCACACCCCCCACCAGGGATGTGCCTGCAACCCATGTACATGCCCTTGACCGGAATCGAACCTGGGACCTTTCAGTCTGCAGACTGACACTCTACCACTGAGCCAAACTGGTTTCGGCGTTTTTTATTGATTTTTAGAAAGAAGAAGGGAAAGGGAGAGTGAGATAGAAATGTTCAATGAGAGAGAAACATCACATAGATTGGTTGCCTCCTGCACACACACCCCCCCCAACACACACTGGGGATCGAGCCTGCAACCCAGGCATGTGCCCTGACTGACCGGGAATCGAACCCGGGACCTCCTGGTCCATCAGTGGACCTTCACCCACCGAGCCACGCGGGCTGGGCACACGGTCACACCGCACACAAGCGGATGGCTTCGGGGTCTCCTTTCCCTGCCTCCCGAGATCCTGGCCCTTCCTGGCCCTGTGTGGAAAGCCATCCTTTATTTTCCCCCAATTCCTGCAGAAACGGGCCCCGAAGGCCTGGAGGTGGACGGGGAGGGCTGGCCGGCCCGGGCTCCGTGTCCAGGGGTGTCCCCTGTTGGGTGGGGTGCTGAATCGGACTGGCCGGATGGAGTCTGGAGCTAGGCAGGGAGAGAGGGAGGGCGCTGAGAGGTGGGAGAGGCCTGGGAGAGGGTGGGGCCTGTACAGGGGGCTCCCCCAGATCCTCGCCTGCCTCCTAGCCAGGAGCCCTTTGGTTTCCTAACCCCGTGACTCATTCTGGAGGCATGAGTCACCCCAACAGAGGTGGGAGAGGAGGAGGCGTGGTGGGAACAGCCAGGTCGCTGTTCACCGGGGCCTCTCTTGGAATCTGCGTATGGATTTCCCACACGTTCTCTCTGGCCCCCCTCCTTTTTAAAAAAAAAAAAAAATTTGTATGGATTTCAGAGAGGAAGGGAGAGGGGAGAGAAAGAGAAACACCCACGAGGAGAGAGACTCATGGATCGGCTGCCTCCTGCACGCCTCCCCTACTCGGGATGGAGCCCACAACCCAGGCATATATGCCCTTGACTGGAATTGAACCCGGGACCCTTCAGTCCGCAGGTTGATGCCCTATCCACTGAGCTGAACCAGCCAAGGTTCTGGGGGATGTTTGACCATCTGGGGCGGGGAGGGCATGGAGCAACTACAAGCTATCCCTCTCTGATGAGACTCTCCCTTTCTACCTAGAACATCATCCCTGTCGGAGGAAAGAGTCTTGTGAGAAACGCTGGCTCCTTGTCAAACAAGGATCGTGGATCTAGCAATTAGGTGGCACCGTGTTCCCATCATAAACTCCCACGTGGAAATACAGTGTCAAACAAGGAATGTCGGAGCAAAAAAAAAAAAAAAAAAAAAAAAGCTGAAACTCCAACGCCCTGAGTTGGCCTTCCCAACTGAGAGTGAGCGCTTTGCCATTCAGCCACTTTCCCTTTTCTCCGTGGCTGCCGGGAGGCTCACGGCCCCGCGTGCTAGAAAAGCACGGGCGTTGATTTCCTCCTGACCGCGGCGGTGGGGATGCCTAGAGTGCCCAATTCGAAGAAACACAAACAGAAGTTCAGGGACAGGCAGGGAGAAAGGCATGCGGAGAGGAGGGCATGGGAAAGCTAAGCTGCCCGGCCGGAATGGCCGGTCTGTCTGGGAGCAGCGTGTGGCTCCATGGGGCTGGGGGAGGGGAGGATGAGCAAGAAAGACAGCCCCATCTTGCTGGGGGCCAAGAGGGCTGAGCCCCAAGCCTGCTCTCCACCCTGCTGGCGGCAAAAACTCCAGAGAGAACCAAGACTGAGGTTGGGCCCGGCCGGTATGGCTCCGTGGTAGAGGGTCAACCTAGGAGCCAGGAGGTCAGGGTTCGATTCCCTGTCAGGGCACAGGCCCTGGGTTGCAGGATTGATCCCCAGTAAGGGGCCTGCAGGAGGCAGCTGATCCATGGTTCTCTCTCATCATGGATGTTTCTCTCCCTCTCCCTCTCCCTTCCTCTCTGAAACCAGTAAAAATAAATTTCAAACAAAACAAGAAAAAGGCATTTTTATAGTTCTCCAGGATGCTCCGACCCCGTGTCCCTTGGGTTCCAGGCTGCCGGGCAGCACCTGAGAAACTATTCACCCCACTTTCGAGTTGTTACGAGCCCCCACTCCACTAGGGAACCCCCTAATGTGGAGCAGGCCCCGGACACCCTCACAAAAGCCAACACTTATCAACAGCTTACCACACGCATGGGCTCGTGGCATTCTCTCAGCAGCCCCCCAGGGGTGTTACCACTGCATTCCCCAGATCCCACAAAGACCCAGGGGCAGCGTGGGGTGCGCCCACCTCCTGAGGTGGCCCCGAGCTTCCCAAAACCACTAGGTGTCGCCGGGACACCCCGGATGGTCGGATATCTTTGCCTCATTCAACACCCCCTTAAAATCAGGTCTCCTTTGGGGGACAGGGCCATCACCCCGCCCTTCCTTGGACTACTTTTTAAATATATATATATATATTTTTAATTTATTTCAGAGAGGAAGAGAGAGAGAGAGAGAGAGAGAGAGAAATGGGAACATCAACGATGGAGAATCATTGCTTGGCTGCCTCTTGCATGCACCCCACTGGGGACTGAGCCCACGACCCAGGCGCTGGGCCCTGACCCTGACCAGGAATCCAACCCATGACCACCTGGTTCACAGGTCGATGGCTCAGCCACTGAGCCAGGCTGGTTGTGCATGAATTTTTTTTCTTTTTTTTCTTTTTTTTTAAAATATATATTTTATTGATTATTTTTCAGAGAAGAAGTGAGAGGGAGAGTCAGCAACATCGATGAGAGAGAAACATCGATCCGCTGCCTCCTGCACACTCCCACCTGGGGATGTGCCTGCAACCAGGGTCCATGCCCTTGACCAGGAATCGAACCTGGGACCCTTCCGTCCGCAGGCCCACGCTCTGTCCACTGAGCCACACCGTTTTCGGCATGATTACTTTTTTAAAAATAAAAAATCTATAGATCTTTATTGATTGATTGCAGGCAGAAAGGGGGAATTCAGTCCAGAGACAGTGCCTGAGCCCTTGGCCGGGAACCGAACCGGGACCTCCCGGTTCCTAGGTCGAGGCTCCACCAGGGAACCTGGACCCGGACCCGGGGCGCCCGCAGGCGGAGCCGGGCCACCGGGGCGGGGCCAATGGGGACGCGGCCGCCGCCCACCAGGTGGGAGGGCGCGGCCCGGGACTGGCCTCCCCGCCGGGGCGCCCTGGGCCCTCCCCTCCCGCTCCCCCGCCTCCCGGAGGTCACGCGGGGTCACGGCCGCCGCTCGCTCGCCGCTCCCGGGGGCTGCCGGCGCCTGCGTCCCGCGGACCCGCCAGAAGTCGGCGAGGAGTTGCCGGCGCGGGGCGCCGGGTCCCCAGGGCGCGGGGCGCGGGGCGCGGGGCGCGGGCGGGAGCGCGCCGCCTCCGTGCCCTCCCCGCGCTCCCGCGGCGGCGGCGGCGGCGCTTCCCGGCGGCGGGCGGCTTTAAAGGGCGGCCCCCGCCCCCGGCGCTCACTCCGCGGAGCCGCCGCCGCCATGCCGCCGCCGCGCGCTCCCGCCGCCGCCCGCCCCGGGCCCGCCGCCGGGGGCGCGGGGGCCGCGGGGGCCGCCGCCCGGCCCGCGCCCCGGCCTCTGGCGGCGCCGCGCCCCGCGCCGTGGCTGCTGCTGCTGCTGGCGCTGCCCGCCGCCTGCCCCGCGCCGCCGCGCCGCGTCTACACCAACCACTGGGCGGTGCGCGTGCTGGGCGGCCCGGCGCAGGCGGAGCGCGTGGCCCGCGCGCACGGCTACCTCAACCTGGGCCAGGTGAGTGCCCGCGCCCCGGCCCCAGAGCCCGCCCCGCGCCCCGGCCCCCGGACACCCGCCCGGCGCCCCGGCCCCCCCGAGACCCACCCGGCGCCCCGGACACCCGCCCGGCGCCCCGGCTTCCCTGCCCGGCGCCCCGGCCCCCGGAGATCCGCCCGGCGCCCCGGCCCCCGGGACACCCGCCCCGCGCCCCGGCCCCCGGAGCCCGCCCCGCGCCCCGGCTTCCCTGCCCGGCGCCCCGGCCCCCGGAGCCCGCCCCGCGCCCCGGCCCCCCGGACACCCGCCCCGCGCCCCGACTTCCCTGCCCGGCGCCCCGGCCCCCCGGACACCCGCCCGGCTTCCCGGACACCCTGCCCCGCGCCCTGGCTTCCCTGCCCGGCGCCCCGGCCCCCGGAGATCCGCCCGGCTTCCCGGACACCCTGCCCCGCGCCCCGGCTCCCGGGACACCCGCCCGGCGCCCCGGCTTCCCTGCCCGGCGCCCTGGACACCCCGCCCGGCGCCCCCAACTCCCCGGACACCCCGCCCGGCGCCCCGAACTCCCCGGACACCCTGCCCGGCGCCCCGACTTCCCCGGACACCCCGCCCGGCGCCCCCAACTCCCCGGACACCCCGCCCGGCGCCCCCAACTCCCCGGACACCCTGCCCGGCGCACCCCGCGGCGGGGGCCGGGAGGGCGCTGTCCTCCGTGCCCACCGGGCTGTCCTGGGCCCTTGAGACCCCCACCCCGGCCCCCGGTCCCCCATCCCTCAATCCCTCGATTCCCCGATCCCCGATCCCCGCGCCCTGGACGGAGAGCCGGACCCTGAGCGCGCACCGCGGGGCGATGGCCGGGTGCGCCTGGCCGGGCCTCCGGGCCCCCTGCGCCCTCCCTCCGCCCTGGGCCCGGCTCCCGGAGGGGGCGCCGCCCGGGGCCCTGGGTGTCCGGCCGGAGAGTCGCGATGAGGAGGCGGCTTTCGGGGCTGAGGGCGCAGGGGTGGCCACGGCCGGGGCGCGCGGGAGGGGTCCTGGGGAGGGGAGGATGAGGGTGTGGGGTGGGGTGTTGGCTTGGTGTCCATGGCCCCGCGAGCGAGCGAGCAGGGTGACCCCGAGACGAGTCGTTTCCCGGATTCAGTGGGGACAGGGACCCAGGGGGACAGGGACGGGGCAGGACCAGGTGCCAGCAGTCAACAAGTTGTTGGACTGATTTCGGGGTGACGGGCAGCCAAGTGCCAAGCCGGGGCATGAGCGGCCCGGGAGCCAGCAGCAGCCCTCCCGCCGGCCCGCTGCCCGGCTGTCACTCACGCTGGCACTTAGCCCCAGAGGCGGGCGGTGTGGCTCAGCGGATAGAGCACTGGCCTGCAGACTGGAGGGTCCCGGGTTCGGTTCCCGTCAAGGTTGCATGCAGGAAGCAGTCGATCATTGATGTTTCTCTCTTTCTCCTCCTTCCTTCCTCCCTCCCTATCTAAAAATAAAAATAAAATTTTTAAAAATGCTGGCCCTGGCTGTTTTGGCTCAGTGGATAGAGCGCCGGCCTGAGGACGGAAGGGTCCTGGGTTCGATCTATTTATGTATTTATTTTTTTTAATATATATTTAATTGCTTTTTTTTTTTTTTTTTACAGACAGTAAGGGAGAGGGATAGAGAGTTAGAAACATCCATGAGAGAGAAACATCCATCAGCTAGCTGCCTTCTGCACACCCATTCACTGGGGATGTGCCCGCAACCAACGTACATGCCCTCGACTGGAATCAAACCCGCAGGCTGATGCTCCATCCACGGAGCAACACAGGGCCAAAGCTTTATGTATCTTAAAAACATAGTTGTGTTGATGTCAGAGAGGAAGGGAGAGAGAATCACTGATCTGCTGCCTCCCGCCTGCCCGCCCCCTACTGGGGATGAAGCGTGTAACCCCGGGCATGTGCTCTGACCGGAAATCGAACCGGGACCTCCTAGCTCCTAGCTCGGTGCCTAACCATTGAGCCTCCTGGGCCAGTGGGTGGGCTGGGCCTGGTACTCTTTATTCAAAACCAGCCTTTGTCCCCCCTCGCCCAACAGCAGGTACATGTAGAAAAGGCCCCGGGCGGCCAGCTGCCTCTCCCTCCTTCCCTCCTTCCCTTCCTCCCTCCCTCCCTCCCTCTCTCCCTCCCTCCTTCCCTCCCTCCCTCCCTCCTCAATGAGAATGCTTCAAAAAGCCTCCTGTCCTTCCCAACCCTGGAGGTTTTGTGACTCATAATCGTGACGACGGGGATATTCTTAGCTTTGATTTACGGGCGAGTTCTCCGAGGGAGCAGGGGCCAGGATGGAAGCGAATTCGTGTCCGCACAGTAAGCGTGTGTTCCCCGACCGACCGACCGACCGACTGGGACGCTCTGTCTCTGTCCGCTGTGAGGTCCCCTCCCTGAAGCCTTGCCTGGTACCTGCCCTGACCTCAGCCCGGCCCCGGGCCTGGCTCTGGGCTCGCCCCTAAGTCCTGAGCCAGTTCTTCTCACGTTTCCTTTGCTGGGGGGGGGGGGACCTGATCCCATTGGTTGTGGGGGGTAGAGGGCATGTGGACCGGTGGTGATCACCGTCCTCCGATGCTGGGTGCCTTCTCCGGTGACAACGAGGCACCCTGCCCCGGCTGTGGTGGCTCTTTGGTTAGATAGACGTGGAGGGTCCCGGGTTCGATTCCCGAGCAGGGCACGTGCTCAGGTTGAGGGCTGGATCCCCAGGAGAGGGGGCGTGCAGGAGTCAGCTGAGCTGTGATTCTCTCTCATCAGGAATGTCTCTCTCTCTCCCTCTCTCTCCCTCTCTCTCTCTCCCTCTCTCTCCCTCTCTTGCCCTTCTGATCTGGAATCAAAGAAAGAAAAAATAGGCATTTGGCCCTGGCTGGTTTGGCTCAGTGGTTGGGACGTCTAACCAGTCAGGGTGAAAGAGGATTTCTTTAAAGAGAGAGAGAGAGAGAGAGAGAGAGAGAGAGAGAGAGCGAGCACCCCTGGCCAGTGTCATTCCTGGTTACAGAGCTGGCCCACCCACGAGAGTCCTGGGTTCGATACCTGGTCATGGGCGTGTGCCTGGGTTGCAGGTTCATTCCCCGGCCCCAGTGTGGACTGTGTGGGAGGCAACCAAATTTTTGTCTCTCACATCGATATTTCTCTCTCTCTTTCTCCCCTCCCTCGCTTCCACTCTCCCTAAGAATCACTCAGGTGAGGATTAACAGCACCAAATTAATAATATTAAAGTATATATGTGTGTATATGTATGTATGTATGTACATATATATACACACATTGACTTTAGAGGGGAAGGGAGAGGAAGAGAGAGAGAGAGACATCCATGATGAGAGAGAATCTTTGATCAGCTGCCTCCTGCGCGCCCCACACTGGGGATCGAGCCCTCCAGCTGGACATGTGCCCTGACGGGGAATCGAACCTGGGACCCTTCAGTTCACAGGTGGCCGTTCTACCCACTGAGCCACACTGGCCGGGGCCTGGATAGAGATTTCTGGAAGTAAGGCGTCCCTCCTCGGAGCACCCCGGCGAATTGGGGCAAATTCGGGGCACATAGGAGGAGTCGGGGGCAGGGGCAGGGGCAGGGCCAGGGGGAAAGAATGAGTGCGTTATTCTACGGAACTGCGCTCATTTACAGACTCGCCGAGTCCTATGAAAAGCTGGGAGCTCTGGGGTCCAGAGGAAGACGGTGCATTTCTTTCCTGAAAGCGGCCTCAGAGGGCACGCTCTTGAGGGAGAGTCTGAGAAAATAAGGACAGAGACATAAGATACTTCGTAATGAAAAGGAGGAAGCATCAAGCATCGCCGGGCAGGCGTGGTTCAGCAGTTGAGCGTCGACCTAGGAACCAGGAGGTCCTGGGTTTGATTCCCGTCGGGGCACAGGCCCGGAGGGGGGGGGGGGGCTCCATCCCCAGTGGGGAGCATGCAGGAGGCAGCTGATCCATCATTCTCTCTCCTCGTGGATGTTTCTCTCTCCCTTCCTCTCTGAAACCAATACACAACCTACTTAATAAAAGGCTAATATGCAAATGGTCCCCGGGGGAGTCCAACCGGGAGTTTGCTTGCTATGATGTACACTGACCACCAGGGGGTGGTGGGGAGCAGGGCGGGCCACCGGCAATGGTGGTGGGGGGGTGCTGAGGGGGCCAGGGAAGGAGGAGGCAGGGCGGCTGGGAGGCAGGGAACCTGGTTGGCCCCGATTGCTGTCCCGCCTTGGGCCCTACCTGTAGTGCATGGATTTCGTGCACCGGGCCTTTCGTTAAAAAAAATCAGCATGGTCTCCCAGGCTACTAGGAGGGACACCTTACTTCCAGAAATCGCTATTCCGTTTGCCACACGTGGGCCCCTTGTGGACGTGAAAGGGGGCGGCTGAGGCCGGGCGAGGGCTTCGGGAAGAGAACATGAACTTGACTTTGTCAACAGGGAGGCCTTTTCAGGAATCCACAGGAAGTGCAGCAGCTTAATTGCATGCTCGGGGCGGGAGGCGGGGTAGGAATAGGTGTTGCAGAAGGCCAATTTGGGAGGCTGGGAAATGGGCAAGCATCTTTCCGTCGGCCACAGCATATTGCCGTATGTCTGTGTGACCGAAAGGGGAAGCCGGGGGTTCTCAATTTTTAAAAAAAAATATGTATTTTATTAATTTTTTACAGAGAGGAAGAGAGAGGGATAGAGAACTAGAAACACCGATGAGAGAGAATCATTGATCAGCTGCCTCCTGCACACCCCCCACCTGGGGATATGCCCGCAACCAATGTCCATGCCCTTGACCGGAATCGAACCCGGGACCCTTCAGGCCGCAGGCCGATGCTCTATCCACTGAGCCACACCAGTTTCAGCTCAATTTTTTTTTTTTGGAATGCGTTAAAGAAAATAACAACAAACCCCCCATTCTCTCGCGCTCCCTCCCTCGCTCTCTCTCTCTCTGGACTTCCTTCATTATAAACACCAGGTAGCCCCGCACTGGCTAAATATAGGCTCTCGGTGTGTTTATAACCTTCCCCGGGCGGAAGCCAGCCGGGCAGGACGGAATTCATTTGGTTTTTTACGGGCCAATTAGTTGTGTTTCTCTTCAGCAGCCCCACGGGGACCCGTCGTGTTATATAACTGAGCCCCGTCGCCAGCGGCTTTTTAAACAGGAGCTCCGAGCAGACAGGGCTCCCTGCTCAGCGGTGTCAGGCCCTGGCCGGGGTGGGGGGTAGGGGAGGGATCTAGTGGGTTAGAGCATGGCCCCGATAGGCCAAGGATGCCGGTTCGATCCCCGGTCAGAGCACTTGAAAGAATTAACCAGTGGCCCGGCCAGTGTGACTCAGTGGACAGAGCATCGGCCTGCAGACGGAAGGGTCCCAGGGTTGATTCTGGTCAAGGGCACAGGTCCGGATCTCCACTAGGGGCTTGTCATGCAGGAGGTGGCCGAGCCATGGTTCTCTCTCATCAATGATGTTTCTCTCCCTCTCCCTCTCCCTCTCCCTTCCTCTCTGAAATCAATACAAATGTGTAGAAAAAAAAATAAATAAAAGAATCCACCAATGAGTGCATGAATGAGTGGAGCACCCATCAATGTCTCTCTCTCTCTCTCTCTCTCTCTCTCTCTCTCTCAAATGAATAAATAGGGGGGGGGGAGTTTATAATAAGCAGAAAAAGAACAGCAGCCACCAGAAAGGAGAACATCTGCTAGGGCCAAGGGCAGGCCGGGAAGCCGGACAGCGAACATTTGTCGCTGAGATCTTATTGGGCCCGTTCCCAGCTGCTTATCGGCTGCTCCTTCCCTGCAGCCTGGGAGGGAGGGAGGGAGAGAGGGTGGGACCCCTGTGGCCTGACCAAAGTATGTGCTTGGCCCAGACCCCCTCCTCCTGCTCCCCCCCCCCCCCCAGCTTGCTGATTCCAGAGCTTACAGACTTGCACCTGCATCTGAGGTCACGTCCACGGGCGGCCTGGGCGGGCGGGCGGGGGGGACCTTTGAAACGATCTGATGGGATGTCATTTGGGGTGGAATCCGCCGGTCCTTGGCGCCTTTGCTGAGAATCAGACGGGATCCCTATAATCCTCTCTGAAATCAATCAAAACACATCAACTGGCCCTCACCGGTGTGGCTCGGTGGATAGAGCATCGGCCTGCAGACTCAAGAGTCCCAGGTTCGATTCCGATCAAGGGCATGTACCTCGGTGGCGGGCACATCCCCAGTAAGGGGGTGTGCAGGAGGCAGCAGATGGAAGTCAGAGAGGAAGGGAGAGGGAGAGAAACAGCCATGAGGAGAGAGAATCATGGATCAGCTGCCTCCTGCACGCCCCCTCACTGGGGATGGAGCCCGCAACCTGGGAATGGAACCGTGACCTGGTTCATGGGTCGATGTCCAAGCCCTGAGCCACGCCGGCCGGGCTGCAGGGGATGTGGGGGTTTTGAAACCGTTTCGGGGACTGTTCACCAATGATGCCCCGTTTCTCGCCCTGCAGATCGGGAACCTGGAAGACTACTATCACTTCTACCACAGCAAGACCTTCAAGAGGTCCACCCTGAGCAGCAGGGGCCCACACACCTTCCTCCGCATGGACCCCCAGGTGTGGCCGCGCCCGCCAGGGCGGCTCCTCGGGGGCTGCTGGTTTCTCTGTTTTCTGTTTTATTTTATTTTTTTAATTCTATTGATTTCAGAGAGAAAGGGAGAGGGAGAGAGAGAGATAGACACATCGTGATGAGAGAGAATCACGAATCGGCTGCCTCCTGCACACGCCCTGCTGGGGATGGAACCCATAACCCCGGGGCCTGTGCCCTGACCGGGAATCAAACTGTGACCTGGTTCCTAGGTTTGAGGCTCAACCCCTGAGCCATACACCCACTGGGCTCAAAGCACTTTCTTTGCGTGTGTGTTTTGTTTTGTTTGTTTTAACCCTGACTGGAGAATATTTTTTTTCATTGATTTTTAGAGAGGGAGGCAGAGAGAACGGGGGGGGGGGGGGGGGAGCGGGAGGGAAACATGGATGTGCCAGAGGCACTTTGATTGCGTGCCTCATCCACGCACCCTGACCTGGGCCGGCAATCAGACCTGCAACCCAGGTACCTGCCCTTGAGGCAGGAACGGAACCCACCGATCGGGGCTCAAAGCGCCGTGTTGCTCGGCCCTTCCTCGGGGAGTCCAGCCGGCCGCGCCGAGGGCCGCGGACCGGTGGCTGGGCTTTCTCCGGAGCCGGTCATTGGAGCGAACGGGGAGCGTTTGTTTTCGGCGTGTCCTTTGGCCCGTGGCCGCATTTTTGTGAGATGACTCGTCCCGATTCTCTTCCAAGCTGGAGCGCGGTCAGTCGGTCCGAGGCGGCGGCTGCTGCTGCCCGTGTCTCCCTCCCGGCCCTCGCGTGTCAGGGGGATGATTCCGGCTCGGCCCTGGCCCGCCCTCACGGCTCCCGGCCAGAGGGATGACAGAATCAGGAAAGATAAAGGGAGCCGCCAGCCCGAGGCTGCGTGTTAAACGTGTTTTTACTGATTTCAGGAAGGAAGGGAGAGGCAGAGAGAGAGAGAGAAACATCCATGATGAGAGCATCGTGGACCGGCTGCCTCCTGTCAAGCACATGGACCTTGGTGGCGGGCACATCCCCGGTAGGGGGTCTGCAGGAGGCAGCTGATGGATGTTTCTCTCCCATCGATGTTTCTCACTCTCTATCCCTCTCCCTTCCTCTCTGTGTAAAATCAATAAAAAGTGTTTTTTTTAAAAAATATATTTTATTGATTTCTACAGAGAGGAAGGGAGAGAGAGATAGAAAGTTAGAAACGGCGATCAGCTGCCTCTTGCACATCCCCTACCGGGGATGTGCCCGCAACCAAGGTACATGCCCTTGACCGGAATCGAACCCGGGACCTTTCCGTCCCCAAGCCGACGCTCTATCCATTGAGCCAAACCGGTTTCAGCAATAAAAAGTGTTTTTTAAAAAAAAATCAATAAAAATATATATATATTTAAAAAATGTCTCCTTGGAACTTAACCAGGGAAGACACGGACGAGGACACAGATATTCGTGAGACGCACAACCAGGCAGAAGCCGCACAAAATCAGGAGGTCACCGTGCGATTCCCGCTCAGGGCACACGCCTGGGTTGCAGGCTCCATCCCCAGTGCGGGGTGTGCAGGAGGCAGCCGATCCGTGATTCTCCCCTCCGGGGTGTTGCTCTCTCTCCCTCTCCCTTCCTCCCCGGCATCCGTGCACGGACGTTACGTAAACAAACACGTGTCGTCACCGTGCTTCCTCCCACGACAGGTGAAATGGCTCCAGCAGCAGGAAGTCAAGCGCCGGGTGAAGAGGCATGCGCGGGGGGACCCCCACACCCTCTATTTCAACGACCCCATTTGGTCCAACATGTGGTATTTGGTGAGTGGGCATAGCAAGCTGGATCCCCGGCCTGCAACCAACCGATGTGTCTCTCTCTCATCGATGTTCCCCTCTCTCTCTCTCTCTCTTCCCCCTTCCACTCTAAAACTCAATGGGAAAATATCCCCAAGTAAAGGGTTAACAACGCCTTTTTCCGGAATTTGAGGAAAAGAGCGTCTAGGCCATAGGGGGCGCCAGAGAGCTTCTCCTCCGGTCTGCATGGGGCCCCCATGCCCGCGCTGGGCCTGGCTCTGTGTCCGCCCCGGGTGAGGACTGTCCGCGTGTCTCTCCCCACAGCACTGCGGGGACAAGCACAGCCGTTGCCGCTCGGAGATGAACGTGCAGGCGGCATGGAAGCGAGGCTACACGGGGAAGAACGTGGTGGTCACCATCTTGGATGACGGCATCGAGAGGAACCACCCCGACCTGGCCCCCAACTACGTGAGTCGGACTCGGGCCTGGGCGTCCGCGTGTCCGTAAACAGACGGGCGTGGATGAGGTTTTTTTTTAGTTTTTGTTTTTATTATTATTGTTTTTTTTTTAATATATGTTATTGATTTTTTACAGAGAGATAGAGAGCTAGAAACATCGACGAGAGAGAATCATTGATCAGCTTCCTCTTGCACACCCCCCACTAGGGATATGCCCGCAACCAAGGCACATGTTCTTGACTGGAATCGAACCCGGGACCTTTCAGTCCCCAAGCCGACGCTCTATCCATTGAGCCAAACCGGTCCCGGCATGGGAAAGTATTTTTTTATTTTTATTTTATTTTATTTTTTAAAAACATACTGATTGATTTCAGAGAGGAAGGGAGAGGAAGAGAGAAAGAGAAAGAGACATCGGTGATGAGAGAGAAACATGGACCGGCTGCCTCCTGCACGCCCCCTACCGCAGTTGAGCCTGCAACCAGGGCGTGTGCCCTGACTGGGAATCGAACTTGGACCTCCTGGTTCCTAGGTGATGCTCAGCCACTGAGCCCCGCCGGCCAGGCCTGGCAGCTCAATTGTGAAAGTGAAATGTACTTTCCTAGACGCTGCCTTTATCGTTTACTCAAAGTGCGCGTATACATATATATATATATATATTTTTTTGGAAATCCTAAATAAAGATGATGCATTATGGATTTCTACATCTGAAAGCAATGTAATCTTATTGACCAAGTAGAGACCCGGTGCACGAAATTTGTGCACTGCAGGGAGGGAAGGGTCCCTCAGCCCGGTCTGCTCCCTCTCACAGTCCAGGACCCCTTGGGGAATGTCCAGCTGCCGGTGTAGGCCTTTAAACAGGCCGTCGGACATACCTCTGGACCACTGGCTCCTAATTACTCATCTGCCTGCCTGCCTGGTTGCCCCTAACTGCCTCTGTGTGCTGGCCTGATCGCCCTTAACTGTCCCCCCCCCCCCCCCCGCTGGCCTGGTCGCCCCTCACTAACCCCCCTGCTGGCCTGGTCGTATGCAGCCATCTTGTGAGGGCATGAGGGTTAATTTGCATACCACCTCTTTATTATATAGGCTGTCGCCCCGATAAATTCAATTAAAAAAAAAAAAAAAGGAAAGGTGACTAGAGAGGGTGACAGTGAGAGGGACGGAGTACGGAACCTGTTTTTCCCTCTGTTTTCCAATGGAGGCGCACCGGTGACGTGGGCAGGACTGCCACACCGGTGCCACACCCCCTCGCTCACTGAGGTTTAATTCCGTAGGACTCCTACGCAAGTTACGACGTCAATGGGAACGATTATGACCCATCACCGCGCTACGATGCCAGCAACGAGAACAAGTAGGTCTCCCAGCCCCTCTTTCCTGCCGTCCCCCTCCCTGGAAATGGCCCGTCGGAGGGATCCATGCTTGAGTGTCAACCTGTGAACCAGAAGGTCACGGTTCGATTCCCAGCCAGGGCACATGTCTGAGTTCCAGGCTGGATTCCCCAGTAGGGGGCGTGCAGGAGGCAGCCGGTCCACGGGTCTCTCTCCTCATTGGTGTTTCTCTCTCTTTCCCTCTCCCTTCCTCTCTCAAATCAATAAGAAATATATTCAGCCCTAACCGGTGTGGCTCAGTGGATAGAGCGTCGACCTGCGGACTGAAGGGTCCCAGGTTCGATTCTGGTCAAGGGCATGGACCTAGGTTGCGGGCACATCCCCAGTAGGGGGTGTGCAGGAGGCAGCTGGTCAATGCATCTCTCTCATTGATGTTTCTAGCTCTCTATCCCTCTCCCTTCCTCTCTGTAAAAAATCAATAAAAAATATTTTTAAAAAATGTATATATATATATATATATATATATTCAGCCCTAACCGGTGTGGCTCAGTGGATAGAGCATCGACCTGCGGACTGAAGGGTCCCGGGTTCGATTCTGGTCAAGGGCATGGACGTTGGTTGCGGGCACATCCCCAGTAGGGGCTGTGCAGGAGGCAGCTGGTCGATGTTTCTCTCTCATCGATGTTTCTAACTCTTTCTCCCTCTCTCTTCCTCTCTGTAAAAAAAAAAAAATCAATAAATTATATATATATTTTAAAAAGAAATAGATTAAAAAAAATTAAAACACGCACACACACACACACACACACACACACACGCACACACAACATGGTTGTCGCCATCACTCTGCTGCCAAAGGTGGTGGCATCGGGAGGCGTCGGGTTGCTTGGGCGCTGTCTGTCCGAGGCGGCCCCTGGGGTCGGAGTCCAGTTGCTGTCCTTTCTCTGTCGGGGTGTCCCGGGCCTGAGCTTTTTAAATTTTTTTGCATCCTTCCAAAAATATTTACAGGAGGAGAACAAAAGCCCCTTTTTCTCTCTTTCCCCGCCGCTGGGCCAAGATGCATCCTACCCACGCTCCCGTTTCCCTTTGTGGTCGGTCCGATTCCGACCGGCAGAGGCCGGTGCCCTCCTGGCACCGAGCGGGGGGAGGCTTGGCAGCTCCAGGAACCCCAGGGAGGCCGCTCGGGGACTGCCGTCCCGGCCTCCCACCCCAGGCCCCCTTCTTGCTGTGCACGGAGCCCGTCTGGGGTGCAGGGCGCCTCCATCTCCAGCCTCACACCCACAGGGCGAAGAGGCAGGGCCGTGGGGGGGGAGGTAGGGGGGTGGGAGGCGGACCCTGAGCGGCATGACCCCATGAGCAGCCGGTGGGCGGGCGTGGGGCGGAGGACGGAGGGCTTTTGGGTCCAGGCTATTTTTTTATTTATTTATTTTTAAATATATTTTATTGATTTTACACAGAGAGGAATTGAGAGGGACAGAGAGTTAGAAATGTCGATGAGAGAGAAACATCGACCAGCTGCCTCTTGCACACCCCCCTACTGGGGATGTGCCCGCAACCAAGGTACATGCCCTTGACCGGAATCGAACCTGGGGCCCTTCAGTCCGCAGGCCGACGCTCTATCCACGGAGCCACACCGGTCCTGGCGGGTCCAGGCTATTTTTAACGGCGGTTTTACGCAGGCATCCCTGAGCCTCGTCCCCCGGGGACCGGTTCTCAAAAAGGAGTTGTTCTCGCAGGAGGAATGGAGCTGCTGGCTCCGTGGCGGACGGGGTCAGGGGGGAGGCGGGGGGAGGCGGGGGGGGGGAGTGAGCAGTCTCGCCGTGTGTTTTGTTGTTGTTCAGGCACGGCACGCGCTGCGCGGGCGAAGTGGCCGCCTCCGCCAACAACTCCTACTGCATCGTGGGCATTGCCTACAACGCCAAGATCGGAGGTGAGGCCCGGGGCGCGGGGCTGGGAGCTGCCGGGCCGGGCCGGGCCGGGCCGGGCCGGGCAGGGGGCCGGGGCGTCCCATTCTGGGGGGGGTCGGATCTCGGCAGCAAACCTGTCGCCGAGGTGTGTGCCCCTGACCGGAATCGAACCTGGGGGGACCCTTCCTTCGCTCCGTAGGCCCATGCTCTACCCACTGAGCGGAACAGGCTAGGGCAGGAGTGACCTGTCTTAAAGAGAGTGTTCTTCGTTGTCATTCGTTTAGGAGCGGTAAGACCAGCAGGCCAGGAAAGGAGGGTGTCGCACAGTGTGTTTACCCACAGTTCTCCTGGCGGGGGCCACACTACACACAAACACACACACACACACACACACACACACACACACACACGTCGGGGGGGAATACAGGGTCAGGCAGGAGGCAGCGGGTGGGGAGTTGGGGAGACATGAGGCCTGCACCTGAAGTTTGGCTGCGGTTTCTGCAGGAGGGAGCAGGCCAGGCAGGTTCTGCAGGTTCAGGATGGGACAGTTTCCAGGCTCTGGGTGTGGGGCCGGCCCTCATCTCCTCTCCTGCCTGGCCCCGGGGTGACTGGGGATTAGGGCAGAGGCAGAGTGCCCGGCAGTGTGAGAGGAGGAGCCCACAGAGCAGGTGGGTATGGACTCAAAAGGAACTCACGTGGGCAGGGGCTGGTCTCTAGGAATTGGCTGATTGGAGAGGGGAGAGGAGGAGGAGGAGCATGTGGGTGAGGGGGTACCAGTCCCTCCAGACTCAGCCAGGCCTCAAGACACCAAGGCCTGGTTCCTCCAACTTGCCCTCCCTGCAGGCCTGATTGCCCCGAACGGCCTCTGCCTCCTCCGTGGCTTTGTCTGCAAGTACCTCCAGATGGATGTCTGGTCTCATTAGCATATGACCCTTTCATTAGAATAGATAACAATAATAGGCATTCCTGCCCAGCCAGGCATGGCTCCGTGGTTGATCCTAGACCTAGGATCCAGGAGGTCACGGTTCAGATTCCCGGTCAAGGGCACAGGCCCAGGTTGTGGCCTCGATCCCCAGTGGGGGGCGTGCAGGAGGCCGCCGATCCACGATGCTCTCTCTCTCTCTCTCATCCTTGATGTTTCCGTCGGCCTCCCTCTCCCTTCCGCTCGGAAACCAATAAGAATATGTTTATTATAAAAAAAAAAAGCGCAGAAAAACAAAACGAGGGCGGACTCCCCGGGGGCGGGGGGGGGGGGGACACACGCACACACACCCACCCACCGGGGCCCTCTGCTCCCAGGCATCCGCATGCTGGACGGGGACGTGACGGACGTGGTGGAGGCCAAGTCGCTGGGCGTGCGGCCCAATTACATTGACATTTACAGCGCGAGCTGGGGGCCGGACGACGACGGGAAGACGGTGGACGGGCCGGGCCGGCTGGCCAAGCAGGCCTTCGAGTACGGCATCAAAAAGGTGTGAGGGACCCAGGGCCGCCGGGCGCACGCGGGGGTACGGGGGCGCCCAGAAAGGGACTCAGCCCCGTGGCCAATTGGGCTCAGTGGATAGAGTGTCGGCCTGCGGACCGAAGGGTCGGCCCAGGTTCGATTCCCGGTCGAGGGTGCACACACCCGGGTTGTGGACTCGATCCCCATTAGGGGGCGTGCAGGAGGCAGCTGATCCGTGATTCTCTTTTGTCATTGATGTCTCTCTCTCTCTCGCTCTCGCTCTCTCTCTCGCTCTCGCTCTCTCTCTGAAATCAATCAACAAATATATATACACTGAGTGGCCAGATGATGATGACCTGTGAACGCATAGTAATCTGGCCACTCGGTGTATCTCCTATAGAATAAAAGGCTAATACGCAAATTGCCCCCTTGACCAGGAGTTCAACCAGCAGGCAGGGCGGCCAACCACCCTTGTCCCCTCTCCCTAGCCAGGCTGGCCGGACCCCACCCATGCACGAATTCATGCACCAGGCCTCTAACACACACACACACACACACACACACACACACACTGAGTGGCCAGATTGCAATGCATTCAGAGATCATCATCGTCATCATCTGGCCGCTCAGTGTATACACTGGAGGCCTGGTGCACGAAAGTCCTGCACTCAGCGGGGTCCCTCAGCCCAGCCTGCACCCTCACGCCGTCCACAAGCCCTCGGGGAATGTCTGACGGACGGCTTAGGCACCACTCCCTACAGGTTATTTTGTTCAGAGAAACACCAATAATGAAAGAGAGAGACTCATGGGCCGGCTGCCTCCTGCACGCCCCCTCCTGGGGGATGGAGCCCGCGACCCGGGGCTGTGCCCTGACCGGGAATCGAACTCTGACCTCCTGGTTCCTAGGTGGATGCTCCACCACTGAGCCACGCCAGCCGGGCAGGAAATCCTGGTCTTGTTTGCTCCCCCTCCTGCAGCCGGCAACACGAGATGTGTAGAGTTTGAGTAGGGGGGCGGGCACTTCTCCAGGGGGCTCATCGGAGCAAAGCTCTGGGTGCTGGGCCTCCAGGTTCGGGGTGCGCAGAGGATGCTGCAGGCTCCTCCCGGGAGGCCCAGCCCCGTTGCCCTGCGTCCCTGTGAGTCAGAAAGGCGGGGCACGGAGGGCGGAGGGCAGGGGAGGACTGGCGCTGACCCAGCTGTAACGAGCAGGGTGGCGAGGCGGGCGGCAGGGCGAGGACAGCTTTTTGGAGCCGATGTGAGGCTGTGGTCAGCGTCCCGTGGCCCTGGGTGGCCCAGCAAGCCCCAGGGCCTGGTGACGCTGGCAGGGGTTTGGGCCGGACACCCAGGCATTCCCGGCAGTATGGTGCCTTCAGCTTGTCCTGTTGGCGAGAAGAGAGAGGAGCCACGGGTGGGGGGCAGGGGGCAGGCCCTTTTATTCATTCATTCATTTTTTTAAAAAATATATATTTTATTGATTTCTTTAACAGAGAGGAAGGGAGAGAGGGATAGAGAGCTAGAAACATGGATGAGAGGGAAACATCAATTCAGTTGCTCCCTGCACACCTCCTACTGGGGACGTGCCCGCAACCAAGGTCCATGCCCTTGGCCGGAATCGAACCCGGGACCCTTCAGTCTGCAGAATGACGCCCTATCCACTGAGCCATACAGGTTTCGGCCATTCCATTCATTTTAAAATATATTTCTATTGATTTCAGAGAGAGGAAGGGAAAGAGAGAGAAACATCCATGATGAGAGAGAATCGGGGGCACATGCCCGGGTTACAAGCTCGATCCCCATTCAGGGGGCGTGCAGGAGGCAGCTGATCCGTGATTTTCTCACCATGGTTGTTTCTCTCTCTCTCCCTCTCTAGCTTCAATAAATTAATATATAAATACGCACACACACACACACACACTCTCTCTCTCTAGAGGCCCGGTGCACAAAATTCATGCACTCCGTCCGGCCTGCACCCTCGCTCAGTTCGCAGCCTTTGGGGGATGTCTGGCTGACACCTGAGGCCCGGGCCTGTGTCCTCACCGGGAATCGAACCGTGACCTTTCACTTCATGGTGGTTCACGCCGGCCGGGCTGCTATTCCTCTCCTCGTGGGTTGGGGTTGGAGTCTGTGTCCTTTAGAATGTCCCCAGCCCAGGACCCCTCCTTTCTGACCTTAGGCCTTCTCCCCGAAAACCCCACCCCCTGCCGCACAGTCCTCCGCCGCCCGGGCTGGTGCGGGCCGAGCCCCACAGTGCCGGCAGCTCCGCCCAGGCCCATAAACACGTCTCCTCCTCTGGGATCCGCGCCCGCCACCCCCTCCATCACCCGCGCCTGGCTGATGACAGGCTAATGCCAAGCCGCAAATTGGAGCTGGCCTGGCCCCCGAACGCGGCCCGCCCCGCGGGCTCCGGCAGCTGATGGCGGCCATTCCTCCCCTCCCTGCAGGGCCGGCGGGGCCTGGGCTCCATCTTCGTCTGGGCCTCGGGCAACGGCGGGCGAGAGGGCGACCACTGCTCCTGCGACGGCTACACCAACAGCATCTACACCATCTCGGTGAGCAGCACCACGGAGAACGGCTACAAGCCCTGGTACCTGGAGGAGTGCCCGTCCACGCTGGCCACCACCTACAGCAGCGGCGCCTTCTATGAGCGCAAGATCGTGAGTGCCCGGGGCAGGGACGGGGGGTGGGTGGGGGGGGGCTCAGAATGGGGCTCCCGCCCTCCGGGGACCAGCTCCTTTTCCTCGGAACAAAAAGAGGAGTCCAGGCCGGTGCAGCTCAGTGGACAGAGCGTCGGCCTTCGGACTGAAGGGTCCCGGGTTCGATTCCCGTCAAGGGCACGGACGGACCTTGGTGGCGGCCACATCCCCAGGGTGGGGTGTGCGGGAGGCAGCTGACCGATGTTTCTAACTCTCTATCCCTCTCCCGTCCTCTCTGTAAACAATCAATAAAATATAGATCAAAAAAAAAAAAAAAGGAAGAAAGAAAAACAAGATCAAATAGCCCACCAGACATGGCTTAATTTAAAAAAAAAACAAAAGAAGGAAAAAAAAAGATCTTTTTTATTGGTTTTTCAGAGAGGAAGGGAGAGGGAGAAGGAGAGAGAAACATCGGTGAGAGAGAATCACGGATCGGCTGTCTCTTGCACATCCCACACTGGGGATCGAGCCCTCAACTCGGGCCTGGGCCCTGACCCGGAATTGGATGGGAACCTCCTAGGTCACGGGCTGATGCTCACCACTGAACCACACTGGCCAGGCAGTGCCTTTTAAAAAAAATCTTCTGCCTCCTGCCGCTCAGCCACGTCTTTACCCAATGGCCCGTGGATTTATTTTTACATTTTTTGGGGGAAGCATGCAGGCTCCCTCTCCTCCCCCCTCGCCCTGCACGCACGGAAAGGCCGGTCCCCACGGCAGCTGCCAGCCTGGCAGCGGCCGGGCCGGCTCACGAAGGTACTAATTTAGGTTGTTTTCCTTTCCCACTGGAGCACGCGCCCTGGGCCGGGCCGCCGGGCCTTGAATGGTTTCCTGTTCCCGTAGGAGCCCAGCCCGTGGGCACACGGAGGACTGGCTGAGGCCTCGTGACACAGGCGCCCGGCCTGGAGCCTGGGGTGGGGCCGAGGGGGGCTGCCGGGCGGAGGGGAGCGGGGGCGGTGCCTGCCCTTCTGGTGCCCAGGTGGACGCTCAGCTTCGGAGCCATGCCGGCTGGGTCCGGGGGGGCTGCTCTTTGTGTCTCAGCACATGGCCCCGCGTCCTCACACCCCCCCACCCCACCCCGTCCTCGCCCCACGATGGTCTTGTTTGTTCCTATGGCGGGTGCATTTGTTACTATGAGAGCAAAGCCCGTCAGCTCGGAGCTCCTGGTTCCAAGGAAAGCGTGGTCGCCCAGAAGGTGTCCAGGCCGGCCAGAATGGCTCGGTGGTTGAGCGTTGACCTAGGAACCAGGAGGTCACAGGTTCGATTCCCAGTCAGGGCACAGGCTCAGGTTGCAGGCTCCATCCCCAGTAGGGGGCGTGCAGGAGGCAGCCGACCCATGATTCTCTAACATCATGGATGTTTCTCTTTCTCTTTTTCTCTTCCTCTCCCTTCCTCTTTGAAATCAGTAAAAAATATGTGTGTGTGTGTGTGTGTGTGTGTGTGTGTGTGTGTGTGTATTTTTTTATTTTAAAGAATGTGCCCAAATCACGCCTCCTCCATCCCCAGGCCCCAGGACCACACGTGCCTAGGGTCAGCATCTTTTTATTTTAAATACATTTTTCTTGATTTCAGATAGAGAGAGAGAGAGATGGAAATATCAATGATGAGAGAGAATCGTGGGTCGGCTGCCTCCTGCACGCCCCCTACTGGGGATCGAGCCCACAACCCGGGCCTGTGCCCTGACCAGATCCAACCCTGACCTCCTGGTTCCTAGGTTGATGCTCAACCACAGAGCCACACTGACCAGCATCTGGAGTGTCCCGGCCCCTGAGTTCTCAGAGCTGACCTCCTCTCCTGCCCCCTCCCTCCCTCCCGCCCGCCAGGTCACCACCGATCTGCGCCAGCGCTGCACCGACGGGCACACGGGCACCTCGGTCTCGGCCCCCATGGTGGCGGGGATCATCGCCCTGGCTTTGGAAGCAAAGTAAGTTCCCACTCACTTCCCTCCTTTTCCTTTTAAAGTTTCTATGGTCTGCGCTGATATAATAATAAAAGGGTAAGATGCAAACTCCCACCAGCCAATCCGGGAGTGAGTGTGCCAATGAACACAGGATGTCAGGAGGCAGCCCCTCCATGATTCTCTCTCCTCGTGCATGTTTCTCCCTCTCCTTTCCTCTCTGAAATCAATAAATAGTATTTTTTTATATATATATATATATTTTTTATTGATTTTTTTACAGAGAGGGATAAGAGAGTTAGAAACATCGATGAGAGAGAATCATCCATCAGCTGCCTCTTGCACACCCCCTACTGGGGACGTGCCCGCAACCAAGGTACATGCCCTTGACCGGAATCGAACCCGGGACCTTTCAGTCCGCAGGCCGACGCTCCATCCACCGAGCCAAACCGGTTTCGGCAATAAATAGTATTTTGTTTTTAGAAAAAGAGGGTGCGCACGATCCCTCTGCCCGGGCATGGAGCCACCACGGCTTCCTGGCATTGCAGGCTGGGGGCTGAGCCCCTCCCCTGTGCTGCCATCCGTCCATCCTCCCATCCGTCCGTCCGTCCGTGCGACCTGTGTGTCCCTCTGTCCTTGCAGCAGCCAGCTCACCTGGCGTGACGTGCAGCACCTGCTGGTGAAGACTTCCCGGCCGGCCCACCTGAAAGCCAACGACTGGAAGGTCAACGGGGCCGGCCACAAAGGTGCAGGGCCCCGGGGAGAGCGGGCAGGGCCAGGCACCCTGTGCTGGTGGGTCCTGGGGGGCGACCCTGGCGTCTGTCTCGGGGTGCCCTGAGTTCTCGGTGGTCCCCGGAGAGAGAGCTCTGATGGTGTGTCAAGGTGAAAAGTATCCTGGAACCTCAACGTGAAAATCTACCGTCACTAGAATTCAGGATGCCCCAAACTTTTAAAAAAAATATTTTATTGTGTGTTTTTTTTTTACAGAGAGGAAGGGAGAGGGATAGAGAGCTAGAAACATCGATGAGAGAGGAATATCCATCAGCTGCCTCCTGCAACACCCCTCACCGGGGATGTGCCCGCAACCAAGGTACATGCCCTTGACCGGAATCAAACCTGGGACCCCTCAGTCCGCAGGCCGACGCTCTATCCACTGAGCCAATCCGGTGAGGGCTCAGGTCCCACTGTTTCAGCTCCGCCCCTGATACCACTCCCTGGGAAGGACAGGTCACGCCCTGTGACCCCTGTCCCAGGGGACACTCCCCTTCCTGTCAGGAGGCCGTGGGTCAGGCCCGGCGCGCCTCCGTCTTGCAGGAGTGGGGGTGGCGGGCGGTGCGGTAACGAGAGCTGACACACATCTCCAGCTTGGCCTCGTGAGCGAGGGAGAGAGATGGTATCTGCTTCCTCCGCCGCCGGGCCTCCGAAATTAAACTTTGAAACCCTCTCCCCTGGCCAAGTTCAACATCGGGCCGGGCCAGCTCACGTGTGCCCTCTGGCCGGTGTCCCGGGCAGCCGGGGAGCTGAAGGGCAAAAGGGGAGAGGCAAGGGGTGAAGCCTGGAGCCTCTGGGTGTTGTTTTCCTCTGGTTTTACTTTATTTAAATACGACAGACCTGGTGCACGAAATTCATGCCACGTTCCTCAGCCTGTCCTGCACCCTCTCCAATCCGGGACCCCTCGGGGGATGTCCGGCAATCAGGGACCACTGGCTCCTGACTACTTACCTGCCGGCTGGCCTGATCGCCCCTGATCCCTCTGCCTGCTGGCCCGATGGCCCCCCACCGCCCTCCCCTGCCAGCCTGATCACCCCTTTCTGCTCCCCTGCTGGCCTGATTGCCCCTAACTGCCTGTGCTTCAGGCCTCGCCACGGTGGCTTTGTCCAGGAGGAGGCCCGGATGGCTGACTGTAAGATGTCCCGTCGACCCGGTCTCCTTGGCATATTACCCTTTTATTATTTTTTATTTTATTATTATTTTTTTAATATGTTTTATTGACTTTTTACAGAGAGGAAGGGAGAGAGATAGAGAGTAAGAAACGTCGATGAGTGAGAAACATCAACCAGCTGCCTCTTGCACACTCCCTACAGGGGATGTGCCTGCCACCCAGGTCCATGCCCTTGACCGGAATCGAACCCGGGACCTATCAGTCCGCAGACCGACGCTCTATCCACTAAGCCAAACCGGTTTCGGTATATTACCCTTTTATTATAATAGTATAGGTATGTTATTGATTTGAGAGAGGAAGAGAGAGGGAGAGAGGGATGGAAACATTCGTGATGAGAGAGAATCATGGACCGGCTGCCTCCTGCACGCCCCACGGGGGTGGAGTCTGGAACCCGGGCCTGCGCCTTGACCTGGAACTGAACCCGCTGTGACCTCCTGGTTCCTAGGTGGACGCTCAGCCACTGAGCCCTACCAGCTGGGCAAGGAGTAGAGATTTTATTGTTTCTCTTTTTTTGTTAAAGTTCACATGAGGGTATTTTCCCATTGATTTTTAGAGGCAGTGGGAGGGAGGGAGACACGTGGATCAGGTGCCTCCCGTACATGCCAGGACCAGGGCCTGGTTGGGGATCCAGGCTGCAACCAAGGGTCATGCCCTTGACCGGGAATCGAACCCGGGACCCTCCCATCTGCAGGGCAGGGGGCAGGAGTAGAGTTCTTAGACTGAGGAGCCAGAGGGTCTTGGGAGCAGCCCTCAGGAGGGTTGCTCCAGGAGACGGCCGGATGCTGCCAGCCCTGAGCAGCCCAGGGGGTCTGTCCCCGGCTGTGGGGGGAGGTCCGGGGTCGGTGCCTCCGTCCGTGGGAGTCGGGGCGGGCGGGGCGGGGCCCCGGGTCTGAAGGGCCTGTCTCTCCAGTCAGCCATCTCTACGGCTTCGGCCTGGTGGACGCGGAAGCTCTGGTCCTGGAGGCGAGGAAGTGGACGGCGGTGCCCGCACAGCACACCTGCGTCGCCTTCTCCGACAAGAGGCCCCGGTGAGGCGGGCTCGCGGGGTCCCCGGGCTCCTGGCCCTCACGCCGACCCTCACCCTCACCCTCACCTTCACCCTCACCCTCACCCTCACCTTCACCCTCACCCTCACCTTCACCTCACTCTGACCCTCACTCTGACCCTCACCGTCACCCTCACCCTCTCGCTGACCTTCACCCTCACCGTCACCCTCACCCTCACGCCGACCCTCACCCTGACCCTCACCCTAACCCTCACGCTGACCCTCACTCTGACTCTCACCCTCACCCTCACCCTCACCCTCACGCTGACCCTCACCCTCACGCTGACCCTCACCCTCACCCTGACCCTCACCCTGACCCTCACCCTCACTCTGACCCTCACTCTCACGCTCACCCTCACTCTCACCCTCACCCTCACCCTCACCCTCACTCTGACCCTCACCCTCACTCTGACCCTCACCCTCACCCTGACCCTGGCCCTGGCCCTCACTCTGACCTTCACTCTCACCCTGACCCTTACCCTCACTCTCACCCTCACTCTGACCCTCACCCTCACCTCACTCTGACCCTCTCCCTCACCCTCACCCTCACCCTCACCCTCATCCTCACCCTCACCCTCACCCTCACCCTGACCCTGCTGCCAGGAAGTCCGTGGAAGGTGTGTGCTCATGCGCTGGTGGGCACACTCTCTCCTGGACTGTGAAGCCGGGAAGGAATGGTCTCTTTGTGTTTATCTTGCTTTGGTTCATCCTCACCCGAGGGTGTTTTCCCCGTGGGTTCTTAGTTATTCAGTTTTTTAGAAAGTTACTTTATTGATTTTTGTACAGAGAGGAAGGGGGAGGAATAGAGAGCTAGAAACATCGATGAGAGAGAAACACCCGATCAGCTGCCTCCTGCACGCCCCCCAACAGGGATGTGTCCGCAACCAAGGTACATGCCCTTGACCGGGAATCGAACCTGAGACCCTTCAATCCGCAGGCTGATGCTCTATCCACTGAGCCATACCGGTCAGGATGACTCTTTTATTTTTTTAATGTATATTTTTTATTGATTTCAGAGAGGCACGGAGAGAGAGAGAAACATCTGTGATGAGAATGAATCCTGGATCGGCCCCCTCCTGGGGACTGAGACAGCCACGGAGGAGGGGGAGGGCTGTGGGCTGTGGGCCGGCCGGCGGGCGGGCGGACGGACGGACGGAAGGGAAACTTTGGGAGCGGGCCATGCAAGCAGTCAGCCTCCCCAACCCACGTGCGGTGCGCACACGTCATGTGTCCGCGTGTTTACGGTCTCGGGGGGGATGACATCATTGTTTGTGAGCGTGTCTGAGGGTTTCTCATGACTCAGCGAGCGATGTCATTCCTGGGGGACGCTCGGCCCCGGCTTCCCGCCTCCCCTCCCGAGAGGAGGGTCCGGCATCGCGGGAACAGCGTCCCCCAAAAGGGGTCCAGCCCCGGCTGAGCCTCGGGGAGGCGTCCGCGGGCTGCTCAGCAGCCATAGGACCTTTCTGTCTTCATCTGTTTTTAAATATGTTTTTACTGATGTCAGAGAGGAAGGGAGAGGGAGGGAGAGAAACCTTCATGAGGAGAGAGAATCATGGACCGGCTGCCTCCTCCTGCACGCCCCCCACTGGGGATGGAGCCCCTGACCGGGGAATGGAACCGTGATCTCCTGGTTCCTAGGTCGGTGCTCAACTCCTGAGCCACACTGGCCGGCTCCATCCTTTTTTTTTTTTTTTAAATTTCCACCCTAACCGGTGTGGCTCAGTGGATAGAGCATCGGCCTGCAGACTGAGGGGTCCCAGGTTCGATTCCGGTCAAGGGCATGGACCTTGGTTGCGGGCACATCCCCAGTGGGAGGTGTGCAGGAGGCAGCGGGTCAGTGTTTCTCTCTCCTTGTCCCTCTCGCTTCTCTCTGTAAATAATCGATGAAATATTAAAATAAAAAAAATAAAACAAAAATTTTTTCAACGAAGTTTCCATCGATCTGAGAGAGAGAAGAAGGGAGAGAGAGAGAGAGGGAGGGAGAAACATGGACCAGTTGGCTCCCAACTGGGGATCGAGCCCGCCACCCAGGCATGTGCCTTGACCGGGAATCGAACCCATGACCCTTCGGCGCTCGGGACGATGCTCCAGCTGACGGAGCCACCCCGGCCAGGGCCTCTCTGAGCGAACCCCAGAGGAAAGCCATCCTCCGGGCTGGCCGTCTCGCTGCAGCAGGAACGTCCGAGAGAGTCCGTCAGGCAGGGCCGCAGCTGCTCCCCCGGGGAGAGGGGGCGGCGGGGCCCCCAGAGGCCGCACCCGCACTCACCGCCCCTGTGGGTGACCGGGTCCTCCCCCCCCGACCCCTCAGGAGCATCCCCGTGGTGCAGACGCTGCGGACCACGGCCCTGACCACGGCCTGCGCCGACCACTCGGACCAGCGGGTGGGCTTCCTGGAGCACGTGGTGGCCCGCGTGTCCATCTCGCACCCGCGCCGTGGCGACCTGCAGATCCACCTCGTCTCCCCCTCGGGGACCAGGTCCCAGCTGCTGGCCAAGAGGTGAGGCCGGCCCGGCCCTGGGGAGCCGGGCGGGGGGCCGGGCGAGGGGCCGGGGGCAGGTACGGGGTGTCGGTGGCTGGCAGGGTACCATGTGGGCATCATCGCAGCCTGGACTCTCGTGCTGACACCCCGGCTGCTTCCCCCGGCAACCAGGTGGCCGGTCCATGACT